AAATGTTTGCGTGCCTAAGGCTTTAATACACCCTCCAGAATATTTTCGCGATAATATTCGGCATTTATTTTGATGCCACGGAGATTAATGCGAGCGACCATCGGCTGTTATGGCGGCCCACACCATATCCATAGCCAGCGCTTGAGTTCTCGTGGCCAACCGAAGGTGCACATTTTCAGCTGACTTCTTTGACATGTAAACACGATCATTTTGATTGTTTACAAACTGCTGGACAACGAATGTTTTCTCATCGGAGACGGAGAAAATCAAATTCGGTAGTTCACCACTTTCGGCCAAGCAAAGCAACTCTTTAGCTCTTCTGAGTCTATTTTCTTCTGTTGCGGTGTAAGTTCTTGCACTTTTTGGAATTTCAATGGCTTTACTCCGAGCTCATTTTTCAATATTTCCCGAATGAAATATTGCGGCCATTGCGTCGCGGGTTTTTGATCAAGTCGCTTCTTTACTTTTCGAACCATTTCTGCTGATGTTGCTGTTTTCTTCCATCTCCGTTCACTTCCTTGACGTCGGGCTACGCTACTAGTATCACGGTAACGAGCGATGGTACGAGACACAAAAGATTTATTCATATTCAAATGCTGGAGTGCTCTAACGATGGTTTTCCAGCCAAATATAAAGAAATCACCCTATCACGCTTGAATTCCATTACGAATAACTTTTTTTCTGAATAATTCTCACCAAAATGCTTTTGTACGCTTGTAAATAATATAATGAGCTGTCACTGCAATAATTTTAACACCTGTCGGACGAGTGGCTTAGAAATTACAGCAGTCTGAAGTTGGGTGCAGTTTTTTCATCTCACCCTGTATATTACAGGCTTACAATTTTATTTACATCTCTTTATGCACTTTTTGGCTAAAAACATATATTTTCGAGTATTTAGGGTGCAGATTTAATAATTCTACTGTGCCGTCCAATGTGAGTCGTTTTCCTAAATGGAAGATTTTGTTTTATAAAATTACAAAGCTATTGTACTTCCGAATTTCTAAGCTGTAAATTTAATATTCGATGTTTCAAGTATCAAAAAGGACGGGATAAGTTGTCCTAGTTGTGGCGCCCAATGTCCCGCTATTGCCTTAGTTGTGGGCGCCTTAAGTAAAATCACAAGGTTATCTGGCAATATTCACAATGTTCCAATAATACGATTGGCATTAATATAACACTGTTTTAAATTTATTTACTCCATTAGAGCACATTTTGAAGGTGCGAGCTCATATTGTGGCGCCCAATGTGTTTAAGTTTCCTTTGTTGTAGTTTTTTTTTAATAAAATCATGGGATACTACTTCAACTTGTTACCAAATCGCAAATTTTTATAAATGTAATTGTCATTATCTAATCATGTAGGTCTAATCGATTTTTAGTGTATTGAATCAATCAAAATATATTCATATATTCGTATAGTAAATGTATCGACAAAATTTCGATTCAGCTCCAACAATCACTAGATATAAAAAATATATAAACAAACACATCATTGACATCACTGAAAAATACCGGCATAAATTCCTGAGATAAACTCTTATCAACAAACTGGAAAAGAAACTGCAACAAATATATCTCTAAGTTACCATATGTGTCATGTCGAATGCAGTTTAATGTCTGTAATTCTATTATATTATGAAATATAAATATTAATAATGTATTCATTTTAATTTGTACTTCATTTATTTGTATTTAATGCGTATATTAATTAAATAACGTCTTTATTCTGTGTTATTGCAATTGGTTCTCTTAAAAAGTGTGTTTTGATGTTTTTGGAGCATCGTTCTCTTTGTTGCTATCTCTTTTAAGAGAAACAACAAAATAATTCTTTGCATTTGTTTAGTAGTAGTGAGAGTTTTTTTTGGGTGAAGAGAACCCCCCCCCACCTTTAGCAAAAACAAAAACGACTGCCTTTTGGGTTTCTGTTTTGCTTTCCACATCCAATAAACAAGTGTATTTTGTTGTAGTCAATGCAAAAGCTGACTCAACCCAGCACCACCCAAATTTAAGTAGTTACAGTGGGCTAGGATGCTTCAAAGGGAATGGATTAGGAAAAAATAATTTTAATTTAATATTTATTTCACAAACAGATAACCAAATTATGGGTGTGTGGGGGCTTTGGTGAGGATCTAAATGACCAGTAAGTGTCTACAGAAATTGAATTCTCAGCGATTCTGAAAAAAAGAAAAAAATCTTTGGAAATGTTTGGAAATCTATTATACTTATATCGGATTGATTTCTTTGGTAAGGCACACGGGACAAAATCGTTTTACAAATTATTGCATTTTGTATGCTTCTCTCACACACTTCGTTATACCCTCGCCCTTATGGCTAGAGAGGGTATATATCATTTAATACGGCCAAAATGTACCTCATCGAAATAACGGTTTTAGACCCTAGGTCACTTTGAACCAAATCCATTTCAGGACATTTTGAGTCAATCTAGGTATACCCGTCCGTCCATTTGTCTGGGAGTATCCGTTTTGATCCAAACTTAGTACATCGTAATATTATTATCAAACTAATAATAATATTATAATCAAACAAAGATTGAGAACCGAGATGGACAATATAGGTTCACTCATTCCGGTCGAAATTTTCAAAAAAAAAAAAGAAAATATTTCACTGCACAGGAAGAGAACGGATAATTCGATTTTTCTCCAACTTTGCTCTAATAATAATCTCTTATTTGCATAAGTGCTAGGTCAGGTACGAAAATGGACAATATCGGTCCACTCCATCAAGTACCTCCCCCATATAAGATCAACATTTTGAATAACCATGAATCTCATAAAACGCGAAATTAACATCCGGTGCCATTCAGTGCCATCTGTTATAAAGACGGTACCTCCTCTCGTACCTCCCCAACAAAGGGTCGAAGGTTTTAATATTAATGAAGCTCATAAAACGTGAAAGATCCCGTTCAGACTTGGCTGGCACATCTTAATATTTCTATCAGCACATGATCTGTTATAAGGATGGTAGAGATCGGACCATTCCTTCTGGCACCACCCCCATAGAGAGTCAAAGTTTTGAATAACCAAAACGATCATAAAATCCGAAGTAAGAATCCTGTTCACATCCTGCGAAGAGAGGATATATCGATCCAATCCTTCTGGTACATCCCCCACAAAGGGTCAAAATGTTAAATATCCATGAAGCTCATAAAACGCGAAATTAACATTCGATTCCATTCAGACTTGGTACATCTCAATATTTCCATCACCACAAGATCTGTTATGAAGATGATAGAGATCGGTCTACTTCTTCTGATATCTCCCCACAAAGGGTCAAAGTTTTGAAAAACCAAAACGATTATAAAAATTGAAATAAGCATCACGATCACATCCTGTGAAGAGAGGATATACCGATTTAATCCTTCTGGTACCTCCCACAAAGGGTCAAAATTTTCAATATCCATGAAGCTCATAAAACGCGAAATTAATATTCGATTCCATTCAGACTTGGTACATCTCAATATTTCCATCATCACAAGATCCCTTATACAGATTGTAGAGATTGGACCATTTATTCTGGTACTTCCCCCACAAGGTGTTCTGCAAACCCCTTCTGGTAGGTCACAATTTTCGATACTTTTGTCTGTCATAACTTTCGAAAAAAAAAGCCAGCGATTCTTTACAAGTTGCTATATCTAAATATTTCTCCCAAACCACAAATCTGAGATGAATATGGAATTTATGATTCCGCATATAATTGGATGTAAATCTTCGTTTGTCTTGCCATTTTGCTCATACCAATATTTTTACCTTTATTTGATGAAGTATGAATATGGAATACTTTCGTCGACTATATCTGGTACCTCACGAACATATTAACATTTTCTTAAAATCATCACATATGTCATATAAAGCGAAGGAAGTCACAAATATAGGCACGTCGCAATATTTACATCATATTTATTTAGGTCCGATACGAAATGGTCAATATTGGCCCATTCCTTCTGAACTCATTCCATAGAGTTTTAAAAGTTTGAAACATTTTTTTTTTTCATATTGTAGACCTTATAACTTGTCCGTTAGGATCGCCCGAACTGATTTCAATATTAATTCCTGACTAAGATCATAGAGCTTTGTATATATTTTTTATCGTTTTATTAACCGCCAGAGCTATTGTGCTTTTTTCCCACTCCTCGACCACTGTCCAACTATTTGACACTACCATATGCTAAATAAACCGCTAACTACACCGCGAAAAAAGATGAATGTTAACAAAAAAAAAAATTAAAAATATTTAAATGTCATCATTGTTATTAAATTGTGAGAGAACCACAAAAGAAGTAGAGACTACTTAGTAGACTCCACAACACAATGTCTCCGTACTAATCAAATGGCAAACGATAACAACAAAGACGAAAAAAGCGAATAGAAAAAATAATAAAAACTGAATTTCAAAATTCCTTCGATTATAATGCACGACAACTCAAGAGAAGACAATAAAAAACAACAAAGACAGCACAAATTGTGAGAAAAATAGCAAAATGCCGGTGGCAAGGCGAAAAGAGGAGGGCAGGCGGTGACGGACCATACCGTAAAACGTGCACCGTCACAGCCTGGTACAAAGCGGTGCAGCAGAAAACAGAAAACTCAAGTCGGTAAAGTTATAATGGAATAATGTAAAAACAGCTCACTCACACATACACTCGTGCACACACACTGCAATAACAACAAAGTAAATAATACATGGAAAAACATATCCCAACATACCAAATTGACTTGAGAATAATATTTTAACAAGCTTACAAACATAAGCCTTAAGCTTGAGAAAATCTTGAGAATATATTGAGTAATGCTTGTTTAACAATTATAGAATAATCGAAACGGAACCCTTATTTATAAGCTTATTCTTGTAATTGCAGAATAAGCTTACGAAAGTAATATTATATTAAGCTTGCTAGTGCAATTTTAGAATAAGCTTACAAAACTAATATTTTCGTAAGCTTATGTATTTATAAAAAAGTGTACATATTTTTCAAAACTATTTACTCCATTTTTATTAATTCAGTTGTGTTTTACATTAAGATAATTAGTTCAACTATTATTAGTGAAAGTTATAATATTATTATGTTTTTTTTTTTTAATTTACATTTTATTTTTTGTTTTTGTAATCGTTTCGCAGCTTTATGCGATTTTTAGCGAATTGAAAGAAAGTGCGCGTGTCCTTAATGAATGCGTCCTCCGTGTAGCCCAATGATAAAGTTGCATCTATGAAATATAGAAATTAAGCGTTTTTTTCAGATACTATTGTTAAATAGAAATACTTCGTATTGCTTTTGTTGTACTAAAATTGCGAACACTTCTCTTTGTATCCGTCCCTTTCCAGCAGAGTCGTTCTCCCAATTCATCTGTTATTATTTTTTTCCAGCAATTCTTTACGAAATTTGGTGCCTTGGCAACAAGTTTCAGTTCGCTTTCCTGAAATTAGGGAAAGCATAGTGATATTATTATTTTTGTTTTAGTTAGTATTTTTGAACTAAATCATTTCCTGAACAAATTATAGAATGAAACTTACAAGAGAAATAAATGCTTCGTTTATTTCTTGGAGACTTTTTTCAAATTCCAGAAACGACTCAATATCCTTGAATGGAACGGAAGGCATTACTAAAGTTTTGGTTTTCTTTCTTTCTGGTTTGAGCTCCTGCAACTCCTTACGCAAGATTTGCACTTCGCTTATTAGCCTTATGAACATAGGCTGAATTGCACTTATTACTTGGTTAGCTATATCTAAAACTAAAATAAGATTTTATCATATTTATGGAGAAATGTTTAAAAAATATTATTTTTACCTTCAGAATTTGTTATAAGTTTATGGTAATTTTCATTTATTGGCGGAGCTCCCATGTTAACATTTTTCTGACTAAAGAATAGTTTTGTGAAGTCTTCAGGCATTGTGAATTAGCGGAAGAAATACAGTTTTGCTGTTTTGAGAGAAAGAAACCATTTTAACTATCTCATGTAAAAAGTGTGTCTCTATTGTTTCTGAGAAAGATAAATCCGTTGTCTCCCATATATTCAAGAGAGAGGAATAAGTGGATAGAAAAATAATGGTTCCAAAAACAATACTTTTGATCCAAACACTTTCTGCGTTCCTGTTGTTCCAATTGATGAAACTTTGAAAACATGTTGTCCAACACTATAATAGTTGTTAGGCGCAAAAATTGACAAGTATATGTTTTCATTCTGAATAAAAGTATTTGAACTTCTTTCCACTTTTACATGTTCTTCAGAAAGTGAACTGTTTATACTTTGTTCAACCAATCGATTATATAACTGCACGGATACGTGGTTTTTCTTTTTAAGAAGTCGTTTTAATTTTCCTAATTTGTTTTCAAACTTAAAGGCGCTTATATTTTCTAGCGATCCATATAATAAAGCATCACTTGCTAGATGCTTCATAATAATTCACTGGGACATTCATTACAAAATTGGTTAGCAACGCTTGTGCGCACTCATTGTATGTTTTACATTTGCTTTCATCTAATAATATGCGCAAAGCCAAGCTTAGTTGCATATAATGAGTATAACGATTTTCATCCAATATACTTTTTAATATAAAAGGTCCAGTATATAGAAGGAATTGCCGAAATTCTGTTGCCTTGTCTCGCTCAAATTCCTTTAAACTTCGTGGTGCTCTACAAAATTCCCTCGGAGTTTGACTTTTAAGCGTCTGCAGTTGATCATCAAACACTTCGATTTGTGCTGGAGATAGCGAAAACGAACAATTTTTTTTCCGGATCCAAGACTTCATTAATGACTTTACAACTCCAAGACAAACTACGTGCATGTAATCTAATGGAAAGGATTGAACTATGTGTATTGGTAACTTTTCTATTGCCATTTGGGTGTTTGTTATATGATGATTTGCACAGTGACGTATTCTGAAATTTTCATCTGTTCGAGAATCATTATTTTCTTGTGTGAAAACCATGCGCTTCTGAACGTATTTCCCAGTTTGTGTGCACTTGTGGCAGGAATTATAACCTGTATGGCTTTTTATACCCAAAACTAGGGATCTTGCTGGTGAATCGCATATAAATGACCGGCAGCTAACTTTATAACTAGGGTTTTTTTAATGATCTAGCATCTTTTGGTAGGCTTGGTATCATCCTCCTCATTATTGTTAAAAGTTCATTCACTGCAGAGTTCGAAATTAAACGTTTCACACTCCACTTAGCCAACTCATCATGAATATTAAGTTTTTCAATTGGAGACATAGTTGGAGCTTCGTCGCTTTCATTTTCACTCTCACTTTCATTTTCACATTGCACAGGAACTGGGTCGCTATTTATTTCACTAGTTTCCGACCGTTCTTATGATAAAATTTTTTTGTGTTGATTATCACTAAAAAGAAGTTCAACTACCTCTTTTGCTTCTCTTCTAACACTTTTTTTATATTTATAAGGCATTTTTAAAATATTACCAATTAATTTTTGCAAAACACAGCGAATTACCTTTTTTACATTGAAATGAATCAATAAATGCAAAACAAATTGTTTTCACCAAATAAATTTATGTACAAATGCAATGCCTACTCACTACGAAATGGTTGTGTGTTCAAAAAATTTTCAGACACACTTGCGAAACCTTTGTACAAATAAGCATTTCTAAAGTATTGTTAAAAATTTGTTGTGAAATTTCTTTTTAATAATATTATTCTCAAGTTGTGTTGTAGTTTTATTTTTATTTGGTATGTTGGGTATGCAAAACAAATGAAAAGACAACTGGGAAAACAAACAGTAAAGAGAAGGAAAATACAATGACGATGTGGATGTGGATGTTGATGATGATGATGAAGCCGGCAACAATGTCGTCTGACACATTCTCAATTTTCATTCGGAGACTTTGTTGGGTGGTTGTGGCTCTAAGCGGGTGTTGGTGTGAACACGAAATGAGCGGGGATCCCTTTCGTCTTGAATATTATATGAAATTGTATGATGAAGGTGTTAGAAGATTCTGAATTCTTTTTACCAAATTTTGACCGTTAATGGGGGCGAAATACCAAAGATGAGACCAACGTATCCCATTTCGATAATGGGATCTATGAGACAAATGTTATACCCTTAATCATTCTATCAAATTTTAGAATAAGTTTAGATTTGTTCGAATTGGCCACCTTTGGCACGAATTATGGCCTTCAAACGGCCAATGAAACCGTCACACGCTGCCCGAATGTTGCTCTGCCGTATTTTGGCCCATTCCCGGCGAAGCGCTTGCTTGAGGTAATCGAAACTTTGATATTTTTTAGTGCCAACCTTGCTTTTCAAAATACTCCAGATATAATAGTCCAACGGATTGGTATCCGGAGATTTTGGTGGCCATTGTGCGCTGGAAATGAAGCGAGGAACCTCATTTTGTAACCATTCGTGGGTGGCGCGTGCTGAGTGCGATGGTGCTGAGCCCTGTTGAAATGTCCAAGGTCTGCGGCCAAAATGTTTGCGTGCCCAAGGCTTTAATACACCCTCCAGAATATTGCTTGTTAATGCAAAATTACAATTTTATGCGAAATCATAAATTCCATATTCATCTCAGGTTTCTGGATGTGGCAAATAAAATTATTAAAAATTGTAACCCTTTCTAGGTGACCCCAAAAGGGGTCCGCAGATATATATATATATAATCTTCACATATTTGAAGAGAGTTGGATGCTTATTTCGATTTCATTGATTGGTTTTTAAAATCTTGAAACCTATGTGGGAAGGTACCAGAAGAAATGGTCCGATCTCTACCATATTTATAACCGATCTTGCGTTGATGGAAACATTGATTTGGCTTTTTATGAGTTTCTTGGATATACAAAATGTTGACCCTTTGTGAGGGTCATCTTCACATCAGATTTTGTGTTGGTAGAAATAATGGGATGTGTGAAAACTCGAAGAAAACTGGATGCTTATTTCGGATTTTATGATTGTTTTGGTTATATAAAATGTTGTGGGTACCAAAAGGAATGGTCCGATCTCTACTGTCTTTATAACAGATCTTGTGTTGATGGAAATATTAAAATGTACCAATTCTTAAGGGACTGTTGATTTCGCGTTTTATGAGCTTCATGAACCTTTTCAGGGGAGGTACCAGAAGGATGGACCGATATATTCTATCTTCACGCCTTGTGTTAATAAACAAGTAAAAAATCTGTAAGTTCGGCCGGGCCGATCTTTGAATACCCTCCACCATTTGGAAAGATTTTGACAATTTTCGAAAAATAAAATCCCTTAAAAAGTCTGTTAAAATCTTAAAAATACCGAATTTTAGGGTCTATACGATCACGTGGACCTGCATAGGCAACTTTTGTCATAAACCGTTACGATACTCAAATGCGAAACTTGAATAAAAAAATTGGCAAATAAGGTAGCTAAAATCATCAAAATACCGAACATAGAGATGAACCGTTATATTAGGCTCGACGAGAACCAAATTTGAAATAATTTCGGTGAATAATGTGGCTTAAATCACCAGAATACCGAAAAAAGGGAGGTACCATTATATGGGGGCTATACCAAAACGTGTACCTACATGACCCATTTTCAATACCAAAAGTCCTTCAGACATAATACACATTTGACTAAAAATTTTATCAATCTACTTCGTTTCGTTGGAAGCTAAAGTGATTTCCACAGACGGACAGACGGACGGACATTGCTGAATCGACGCAGAAGTTTATGTTGATCTAGAATATATATACTTTGTAGGGTCTAAAATGTATATTTCGAGGTGTTACAAACGGAGTGACAAACTTAATATACCCTCCATACTATAGTGGAGGGTATAAAAATGGTTTGAAGACAATCGGACTCTTACTTCACAATTTATAGGAGTTATAATTATACAAAATTTTGACCCTTCGTGGGGGACGTACTTGATGGAGTGGTCCGATATTGTCCATTTTATGCACTGATGCATTATTAGAATTTGCATAGTCGAAGCAAAATCGGATTATCTGTTCTCTTTCTGTGCAGTATTATTTTTTTTTTAATTTTCGACGAACTCGATCTAAGTTTGATAAACATATTACGACGTACCAAATTTGGATCATATCGGATATTCCCTTCCAGCCTGACAGACATACAGAGGGACAGACATCGATAGATCGACACCAAATGTCCTGAAACTGATTTGGTCCAAAGAGACCTAAAATCTAAAATCGTTATTTCGATGAAGCACGTTTTGACCGCATCAAGTGGTATATACCCTCTCTAGCAATATGGCTGAGGGTATAATTAATTTTGTTGCATAGCGTAATTGTTGTAGATTGCTTAAAATATGAAGGGAGTCATAACATAATTTTTCCTAAGCATTTTCGGATATCCAAATTAACGGATTACAATGGTTCTTCTTTCAGAATACTATGAGTATGTCTCCTTTTTATTACCTTATCCCAATCGACACCCACCAATTACTACGCTCACGTAATTAAGATTTTTAAAAAATGTTCTACTTTCGAAACTTTCCCCAAATTCCTCCATTTTTATATGAGTTTTCCATTTAACGCACGTGACCATACTTGTCGCTCTTTGGATTAAATTTAGCCATGCCTCTCAGCAATTTTAAAGGATTCCATTTTTTTTAAATTTATATTCACCAACTAATTTTGGGCAACAATATCTAGTTCTCTTCCTGTCTTCCTTCCGACTTCCCATTTTACGTTTATCCATCTAACGCTATCATAGTGCCGCGCTTCTCCTCCCTGATTATAATAAAGAGTGTGAAAATGCCATTCATTTATGCACGTCCGTATCGGGGTAACTAGAAATGAATGCACGATTATGGCTGGGTGTGTTTGTGTGTGCTTGTGAGGGGGTGTGACAAAAAGAGAGAAAGAAAATGTGGGTGTTTTTAGTAAAAAGGGGGATGGATGTTGGATGTTCGATAGTGTGGATGTGTGTTCGTTCTTCTCGTTTCTGAGTGCATGACGTATTTGTATTATTTTTCTGCCGGTTTTCTTTTTTTTTTCAATTCCATATGGGTCCATTCAATTGTTCATTTATTTCTTGTAGCAGCAACAGTAACAACAACAAAGCAGAAATTCTCTCGTATCAATACAACAAACAACACATTTACATTCAGGAGATATTACTGTGCGGATCCATACTTGTTGGTCGGTCGAATGCCAGTCATCCCAGGCATGTAGTTGTTGCGTATTTCCACAATGAAATGGAAATTTTTATTACTGTTACTGTGATGGTATCGAAGTCTGGCTGTCGGTGGGTCGGTTCTGTCAGCCAGCCAGTCGGATGTTCATTCGGTGATATCTATGGTATTTGTGACGTTGTCGGATCTGACTTGATATCCCATTGTCTGACTGCTTAGCATATGTAATGCTATTTTTATGCATATGGAGAAGAGTCCGACTGCAATTTTTCTCCAGGGTTCCTCGACATCATCATCCATCCCCCCCATCCCACATTTAATATCACCGACTGTGAGTGCACATTCATATCATTTGTATGAAGAGTTTTTTTTGTGTTTTAATTATCTCGTTTTTTATCAAATTAATTGTTTTTTCATGGCATTGTTATTTATTGTTGTTGTTGTTATTGTTTTATTCAATTGATGTTCATTTTTCCAATTTTTATTGGCAAACAACAAAAACCTCACAGCACCAACAACAACAATATTCAAGTATAATATGCATTCTTTGTGGGTAATTTGTATTCATCTCATGTGGATGTATGGACCTGCAACACAATCGAACTTGGTTCCAGGGGAGTCATTAAAATCAAACTTTTGATGTCTGAGCACTTTTTTAGGGGAATATTTCACATCCAAAGAGGTTCAAAATTTTGACTAACTATATCTCTTATAATTTCTAAAATAAACATCCCAATATTTCTATCATTATGTAATGAGGTGTTAAGATGGAATATATCGGTCCACTCCTTCTAGAGCTCATAAAACACGAAATGAGCATCCGATTATTTTCGAACTTGGCACATCATAATACTTCTATTAACACAAGCCCTGGTGTGAACATGGAATATTTCAATGCTCTCCTTCCTCTCCTCTTCCTTTTAAATAATAAAAAGCGCTTATAAATGCCAGCAAGTTTTACACATCCTTACATTTGTATCAACGCATAACCCGGTGTGAAATAAGCATCTGAATATCTTCAAACACACCGCAATATTTTCATTAACACATGATCTGACATGAAGATGTTAGATATCGGCCTACTTCTTGTGATATCTCCCCACAAATGGTCACAATTTTCAGTATATACAGGATGAGATGAAAAAACTTCAACAAACTTCAAACTGCTATCATTTCTAAGCCACTCGTCCGACATCTGTTAAAATTATTTCAGTAACAGCTCATTATATTGTTTACAAGCGTACAAAAGTATTTTGTTGAGGAAACAGCAACATCAGCAGAAATGGTTCGAAAAGTAAAGAAGCTCCTGAGCTGTACATATTGCAATATTCCATTCGGCAAATACTGAAATAAGAGCTCGCGGTAAAGCCATTGAAATTACAAAAAGTCCAAGAACAGCAACAGAAAGAAAATAGACCTAAAAGAGCTAAAGAGTTGCTTCGCTTGGCCGAAAGTTG